CCCGCTCCGCTGCCCTCACCACCTGCTGCAGTTTCCTCTTATCCTCCACTGCGCACTTAGGAGCCTGATAGAAAATTCCAGCCGCACACCCTGACTAATTATCATGAAGGTCCTCCAAAGTAGCTGTGATCTGACATTCAGAGACATGTGACCATTGGGATTCATGTGGTGTCTAGCACCAGGATATTGATAGCAGATCTATCCTGTTCTATTTGCTGAAGTGTGGTGCTTTTCTGAGGAATGTTCCAGCTTAAGACATGGGCTCTTTTTTTGTTTCTCAAGGTTTTCCTGGACAGGTAAGGTTTATGAATCAATTAAAATGCCATTTTTGATCCAGTTTAAAACTAAGCAGTTATACTTCCATGTTATGCAATCACGACATCCAAAAATGAATGAGGTCAGATGGGAAAAATAGGAGGACGGACATTAGTGTGATGCACAGGAGAAAAAAGGGGCTCGGTCACAAAGCTGTTTGTGCTGAAGAGCCTCACTTGTCTTGGTTTTCTTGTACTTTATATTATTAACATCACATTTTGACTCATTCGCAGAGGGAAAAAATATCAGAGAATGAGTTACGTCAGAAGGCAAATGTGGGAGGAAGGATGGTGATACAAAAAAGGGGCTCAGTCACAAAGCTGTTTGTGCTGAACAGCTGTCTTTCTCTAACAATGGAAGAAACTGAACTCTGCTTTCCACAACTATTCAACTCCTCTTGTGTGCGGCAAAAGCGCCCACAAATTGAGGCTGTGTGTATTTACACCCTGCTATCATCTATCTCTCTGCTTACTGCAGTACTGAACCTACTTGTCATCATCTCCATCGCTCACTTCAAGTACTGACCTATTTAAATTAGTGACTTTTTTTTAGTGATAAAAAATCATTTTTGCTTGCGAAGTTTCTTTTTATATGATGCGTTTGTCTTTTCCTCATAGTTTTAATGTTTTAACTGTTATACTAGAGATGCTATTACCAATGTAATGCTTTATTTTAATCCAGGCAGCTGCACACCCCAACCAACCTCCTCCTCGTCTCTCTGGCCGTCTCAGATTTCTTCGTGGGCCTCATCATGGCTTTTGAGATTAGTCTCCTAGATGGCTGCTGGTTTCTTGGTGACCACATGTGTGCTCTGTATAGCAGTTTAGATTACATTGCTACTTCTGCTTCAGTAGGAACTATGGTACTCATATCAGCTGACCGCTATGTAGCCATTTGTGACCCTCTGCATTATCCCACCAAAATTACTATAAAAAGAATCTCAGTCTGTATTTGTACTTGCTGGGCTTGTTCAATTCTGTATAACAGTCTTATCATGAAGGATAATTTCAAGCAGCCAGGGAGGTATAATTCTTGTTCTGGTGATTGTG